TATATATATATATATGAGTATATATATATATATATATATATGAGTATATATATATATATATATATATATATATATATATATATATATATATATATATATATATATATATATATATATATATATATATATATATATATATATATATACTCACACACACATAAATACACACACATACATACATACACATACATTTTATAGATTCCATCATATCCTCCATCAATATTTCCTGGTGTGTTTCTTCAATGTTATGATAAACAGGCACAACATTTCAGTGAACAGATTTTGCAAGGATTTCAATGGAATCCAGAAACTCATTACCTAATATGTTTTTGAAACATCAAAGTCTGAAAAGCGTTGCTGTCTTCTTTTTGATGAAACTTATGTTAAACCAAGTATACGTTTTTGAGGATGTCATTTAATAAACTACAATGAAGATAATCCTACTGAAGTTGTTAAAACTATACGTTGTTTTATGCTTCAACCAATGTTAGGAAAACCAGATTTTGTTTGTTGTATGGTGCCAATCTTTACGCTTTTGTTTATTTTTTACAAAGTTTAATTAATCAAATCACTCAGACAGTAGCTGAACTAGGCAGTAAAATTTTATGCCTTCTTTCAGACAATCTTGCAACAAACTGTAATGTCTATAAAAAATTTACTTAGAAAGTAGATATGCCTTAGCTAGTCATTATTATTAATGGAAATCTTGTAATACTTCATGATCCAGTGCATTTATTAAAATTAATTAGAAATAACTGGCTAACTGAAAAGTTTGGTAAAATTTATCTCACACTAAATGGTTTGTTATTTAAAAGCTACTTGAAGTATTTGGTACATTTATATGGCAAAGAAAAAAATGTGAAGTAGATGAATCTTTCATGCAAAGCCATTTTTTCTTTTGATCCTTTTGATGTAGCCCATTTGCGTGCAGTTGTGAATAAGAAAGTGTTAAAGTTAAATATTAAAGCGAAAAATTGTACATTTAGTCTAAAAATTGTTGACTGAAAATCATCAGTTCTCCCTGGGATTTTTCAGACAAATTGATTTGAAAGAGAATTTGGATTATATAGGTAATTAAATTTTTTTGTTTAGCTTATCTGTGTTTTTTATAACCATTATAATAATTATTTTGTAAAAATATTCAATAAAATCCAAGTTTTTCTACTATTAAAATCACTTTTTTTTATGGAAATATGTATATAAAATTTTTCTAAAGGCATAAATTTCAATTAATTTAAAATGTGATATTTTTTTGTTAAGCAACTTTGTGGTGTCAATTACTATATTTCAATAGAAGTTTAAAATAGTTAGCATTTACAACGCTAAAAATTGTTTAGTAAATTAGATGCTATGGATTTACCTATATCTGTTTGCTCCATAGCACAATCAGATTGTTGTCACTAAGAACTGATTTCAGATGAAGAAAATGGTGCCCTATCATCATATTACATCCAACATAAGTTTGCTTTATGTTTTTTTAGACAAAAATGCATCTGAATTTACAGATTTTGTTTCCCTTGGTTGACTATGTCATCCTGCTGAACATCTATTTCAGCATGTCAGACATGCTTATTCACTTTTTATTTTAACACCTAATGTTTTAGTGTATAAAGCATGTTTCAAAGCTTTTTTTTTTTGTATTTGTATACAGCTCTCTTATTTGATTTATAAAAATTGTTAATTACCCACTTGTCTCCACCATTTCAAATTGCTTCTTTAAGGGTTTAACAAAGCTGTATGGTTCAGACAAAGTTTCTTTAAATACTAATGATCAAAAAATAAAAAACCTCTAGTAAAATAAAACCATGAATGAAGTTGAAATGAAAACTCGTTTACATCACATTATTAGTAGGTTACAACACATTATTATAGAGAAGTTAAACTTTATTGTTTTTTTATAAAATTAAAAATAAATTAATTATAGCCACTATATTGTATATACTTTTGTTAAAATTAAGTAATGTTAACATCATTTTAAAAGAACCTATAAAATGATTAACGTAATTAATTGCTGTTAGCTCAATGTTTAAATTAATAAGTTAACAAATTCAAAAACAAATTAAAGAAACGTTTTAGTAATCTCAAAACACATAATAACACCTTGAATAGTCTCAAAAAACAAACTTTATGCTTTTTAAGTTTTTCAACCCTCTCTTCAAAATGACATGAAATTAAAGTCTTGTGTTCCAGTATTTTAGTAGTCCCTGGGTCATTCTTGGGAGCTTATTTTCTATGAGGAAAGTGGTTTGGGAAATCTTAATGATTCAGGGTTAAAAGGTAATAACAAAATATTAGGATTGATACATACTAGACTCTCAAGAAAAAACTCCTTAATTGTCAATTTAACAAACACCATTAACCAAATAAGGATATCATCTGATCAAATTATTTTTGACAAGAGATACAAGTCAAAACCATTTTGCAAATTTTGGTATTAAAGAGGATATTATGATAAATATTGTCATAAACAAAATGTCTCTAATAACATTTTATCTGAAGATGACACATTTTTTATAATTTTAACATATGAATAAATTACGTATTTTAGTGCTTGTTTTGATAATTTTTATTGTTTTTGTCATTGATGTACCTATATTATCTTTGTATTACAAAATATACATACATATTTATAAACATACGTATTTTTGTTATAAACAATGAAACAGCAAATTTTATGAAATTTTCAATATTTTGTTCTTTTAAATTATGACCTAAATATTCTACAAAATTATTTTTTAGTTTTTCCAAAATTTACACATAAAAACCTTTTCAAAAAGTCCTTAATCAACCTTAAAGCACTTTCTACTCAAAAGTTTTGAACAAATGTCCGTGAAAACAGCTGTTTGGCCCACTATGTTGAGGGGCCATTCTCCCAAAAAAAATTTTTTTGTGTGTGTGCTATCTGAAACTTGGTTCTTATATAAAAAATGACTAACTACATCAAAATATTGATCTTAGACAAGTGTTAAGAGCTTGGTGTAAAACTTAAAAATTTTAAAAATTGTCAATTTTTGTCATATTTTTCAAGTTTTTATTATTTTAAATGCACCTGCAATAAAAAATGGATAACATTTTAGTCATAAACTAATTTTGTAATTGCTCTTTAATAAAGTAGTTCTAACCTATTTTTACTTTTGTGTTCACTGCTATTTGTTATTTATAAAACTGATCCATTTAATATACATGCGATTTAAAATGGTTTTAACATTTTTAGTTTCATAAATAAATAAGTATATTCAAAAAAAAAAAAGATCAGCTAAAAAGGACCAGAGGAAAAGAAAAATCACAATGTTCAAAGCAAATAAAGACAATCTGCTAAAATATCCCATAAATGAGCTTTGAGTTAATCAGCAGCCTAGAGTCAGAAATATCCTGCAATATTAGTATGACTGTGAATGCACTGCAAGATAAAGAGTTTGACTCTGCAAAGAAAGGAAAGAGTAAAGCAGTTGAATGATAAGAAAAACACAAATGAGAAAAAGACTGTGCAAACATTGAAGTATCAAAGAAGTCAACATACAAAAAAAGCACAGACAGAGCTTGGTATAAACAAAGCAAGTTTGAAGATGATGTTAACCCATTTGAAAGTTCTAATTCTAAAAAATGGTTTTAGCATTTTTAATTCACATTCCAATTCACTGATTCTGACTAATGTCCAAATCAAAAAAATCAAAAATAGTTTTAGAATTAACACCTGGTCAAAGATCATTGGTAAAATTGACACCTCATCTGATAATTTGGTTAGATTTAACAGGACTTTTTTAGCGATTGGGCCACTTATCTACAATAGAGAGGAGACTACAAGTATCTTTTTCAACTTTATGTTTACTACCTTGGTGGACATGTTCCAGCTATAAAATTTCATTAGCCATGAGTTTGCCATGAGGGTTTATTGCAGATGTCCTTTATTTGCTTACATTAGAAATGACAAAAGAGATCTTTAGCATCACAAATGAACAGGAGAAAATGATGGTTCAGACAGTTTCTTTATACATCTGACATACTGTCCTTTGGTGCTTTAATACTTAAAGCTCTTTTAGTATTAAAGCACCAGTTAATAATTTATCGTTTTTCAAGGACGTATTTGATTTAAGTAAAGTATATCCTGAGCTTACTCAATCACTACTAAAAAGCAGTCCACAACTTGTTATGTCTTTAGCTGATGATGATGTTGAGAAAGAAAAGAAGATCAAGATACTGCAAAAACTCTTAGACTTTCCAATACCTAAGGAGGTCATGAAAGGCAAATTCAAAATGGCTTTAATCACACTGGCTATAACACTATCATATTTTGTTGGTAACCAGAGCTGGATCTTGTTTTGCCTAGCCCAGGTTACCCACGCCTAGGTCAAGTTAGCTGCAAAAGGTACTTTTGTCTTTTGGACATCTTTTAATTGTTTGTAAAAAAAAAAAAAAAAAAAAAAAATGTCACCAACAATTGTGCAGAAAAGAATATAAAGTTGATCCAAGACTTTATTATGCCATGCTGAAACAAAGAAATGTGTTGTTGGTTCCCCAAAACCACAGAAAAAAAAGAACTGGAATTTAAATAAAACCCAGCTAAATCAAATTTAAAGAGCTCGTTTAATTTTCTGTCCATAGTACTTTAACATATGTAACATATTTTATAGCACGTAATTTTCATTAAAATGATTGTTTAACAGAAAGAGATTATTTTATTAATTATAAAAGTTTTTTTTAAGTTTATTGAAAAAAATAAAAACTTTTGAAAAAAGTTTTACACCAAGCACTAATAACCTTTTAAATGAAAAAATTATTTTATATTTGGTCATAATGGACCTAGTAACCAAGTTCTAGATGGCGCACATTACTTTTTCCCACAAAAAAATATTTTTGGGACATTCCTATATTCATAATTTTCTAAATACTAAGAGATTATGGTATGAAATTTAGTCTAGAGTTAGTGCTTGTTAACTCATTTAGGGTTTATATTATTTATTATTTTAATATTTTTTTAGGGTTAGCACTTATTAACTCACCAAACAGTGTAATTTGCAGCATTTAGAGTGATTGCATCAGTGACAAGCCCAAGTGCTCTGGAACTCAACTCATTAGCCTTTAGTACAGCACGAACATAACCGTAAACATCTTGAACTATGATATTAAATTAACTATATACAGAAAAAATAAGCAACTAATATTTAATTAACATTAATTTAAATAAAAAGTAATTTAACATTAATACAAAAATAAAATATTGATATTTTAAATTTCCATTATAACTATGCTGAAAAAATAAAACGAAAAACAACAAACTAATTTTTTTAATTTAACTTTTTGTAAGAAAAAATATCTTCTAACAATTGATTAAAACTAATCAAATTTCTACTGCTAATTTGTTTATAAAATATTTTCTTACACTTTGGAGAGTAAGCTATTGAAACAACAGAATGAGGACCATCATCTTGTGGAATGGGACTGATGTCATTCCACTCTTCGCGATCTTTATAAAATACCCAATCTTCATCTTCACCACTTTCAGAAGATGACATTTTTCGTTAATGCAATACAACCCTCTCCTTTTTTTTTTCATAAAATAATTTAAACATATAAAACTATTTCATGATGTTGAAAGTGTTTACAGAAGTTAATTTTAAGCATATTTAAGTATAAAAAAAATAGATTACACCATAGACACACACAAACAGATTTAGATACGCTATAGAAACACACACAAAAAAAGATTTAAATATACCATAGACAAACACAAAAAAGATTTTAAATAGATCTGGGGTAAAAGATTTTTCAAGCTTTATATAAAAGAGTGCTACTTATTTACTAAATGTTTGTTATTAGATAAAGTGCAATTTTGTATTTGTTATGAACACTAAATTAAACTCCAAACACGTTGTTTGTTCACACAAAGTGTGAGCAAACAAACTATATATATTTTAGCACAAATGTGCAGTGTTTACATATAAAAATATGAATGTATTTTATAGAGCATGAATGTGTGATATAGTGTATATAGTATATTTTAGCATAAATGTGGACTGTATATAGCACTAAAAAACAAAAAAATTAACTTCAGTCAATAAGTTATTTTCTTACTGATTCAAATTTCATATTTGTTTTGTTTTAGATAGCATTGTTAAGTAACAGATTTTTAGGCTAGGTGAATAAAAAAAAAGCAATCACTTTTATTCAGCATTTTAGGAGTAATTGCTCAGCTTAACCTGATTAAAAAATTTTATTCATGTAAAGCTGAGCAATTTACTCCGAATATGCTGAATGCACAGCTTTACATGAATAAAAATTTGAGCAAAAGTGCTCAAATTTTTTTTCTCGTAAAGCTGAGCAATTATTTCAAAAATGTTGAGTAAAAGTAATTGCTTTTTTTCATGCATCGGGCCTTTTATACTTAAATTTTTTTAATTTTTTTATAATGATAATTTTTTGCTATATTCTTTTAATCATTATTAATTCTATTATCTTCATAGTTATTTCATTCTATTTCACTTTTTTTTATTTCAATTTAAATTGTTTAATTTTTTGCAACTGTATGAAACACAAAATTGACAGACATTACTATTATAAAATTATAATTTTTAAAAGCAGTTACAAAGTTTTTTAAAAGCAGTTCCAAAATTTTATATGAAAAATATTTTTATGAACTTTAGCCAACATTAGCAGTACTAAATTCTGTCATCATTTTTTAAACCAAAATTTTTAGACTCAAATCTGTTTTAAAAAATATATTTTATTGAAAAATATTTACAATAATTTTACAATGAAGTTCAAAAACACACGGAGAAAACAAATAACCAAGAATATATGCTAAATATTTGACTCCCCTAATCAATAATGAATATTTGACTAGGGTTTACTCATAAACCATTATTTTAAGATTTTGACAATAAAAATGCAGATGTTTATTAATTGAAAAAAATTAAAAAAATTAAAAAGGGAGCTTTAATAAGAATTGAAAGTTTGTTTAATTTCTTCGTTGATACGATTATTTAATTTAAAAATGTTTCTGTGCATGCTACTATTTGTATTCATTGGAAAATTGAAAAAAAGAAATTGTAAAAGCAACTTTGAACAAACAAAATTTTTTTAAAATAAATATTATAATACAAAAAATAAGAGCATTAAAATATTTAAACACAGGTAACATAAAATATGAAATTTAATAAGTTTATTATATATAGATGTATAAATGTTTTTATTATTAATATTAATTTGTTTTCATGAATGAGAAGTCTCATTTAAGTCAATATTATGCAAACTTTTATTCAGAATTTTCTCCGATATTTTTGATAAAATTAAAAGTAGTTTTTCTAACATAGTAGCAATGTTTGTGTCATCAATTATAGAGTTTCGTAAAATAATCTCAAAACATGATTTCAAAGCATTTATTTCTAGCCCTTCAAGTCGTTTCATTTTCTTTGACATAACAATGGTATCTTTGAATGTTGAAGATAGCTGATTATAGACAATGCAAGACAATTTCATTAATTCATCAATATCAATGACATCATCACATATTTTTGTTTTGTTATCAGAGACTTTTATCAATAAGTTTTGAAGACATGTGATTAATTGTGCGTTTTCGCTGAGAATATTAAACTTTATTTTAAGATACTTCCAAGAATGATGTTGCTGTAAAAGATAATCGTATAATGCTATGCTTTCAACAATGACCTGAAGAACTTGTAGTGGAAAATGTTCAGCAGATAGAACTTGATGAAACTTCTTATAATGAAGTTCAGCCAGGGACCGACAACTTTTCTTATCAGAATCAGAAATCTAGTATAAAAATAACAGTTTATAAACATAAGTGGATAAATGCACAAATAAATGCATAGGTTTAAATTATACACATACATACATGCATATGAAAAAGACATAAACAATTAAACATTTTAGAATTTTTCTTTATGTTATTATATTACCTGCATATAATTTAAAAATACCTGATTTCTGAGCATATGATGATAAAGAGAACCAAGTCTATGATGAATGGCTCCAACACGCAATAAAACTTGATTTTTGTCAGAAGATCCAAGAAGTAAAGGCTCAGAAAACTGTAAAGCTTTCATAAATGCACTTGAAACATCTTTAATAATCTAAATGATACAAATACATACACATATTTTTAAGTTAAACATCTAGACATACTTGTGTGATTTAGACACCATTTTCTTATTATAAATGACAACTTACTCAAGAGAAAAAATACTAATATAAAATTTGTAAATTAATTTAGAGACTATTAAACCTTGATTAAAAATTAAATTATTGATTTTAATCTTTTTTGTTGTAATATTGCAATATATTTAAAAAACTAAAGGAAGGACATCAGGTTGAAAAAATAACTTCATAATTAGTACAAATTAGTACAAACCACATAGTGTGTAAGCAAAAGAAAAAGTAGAAAGAAAATTGTATATTGATAAATTTTAACTCATTGCTTGCGGGTACATTTCGCAGCAGATTTGCGAAGATAAATAAAGGGTTAATTTTAAAATAAAATTGATTTTTTTAAACACACATTTAAAATACAAAAAAAATGAAAAAAAATGACACAAACCTGTGATAGTACAAGACAAGCACTGAGGATGTAACCCTGAAGGTAGCAACCTTCAGAAAATGTTTTTGAATTATCAGAAAACATACTAGTATGTGTCCTGCATGCAATGTGTTAATTAAAAAGGTAAGAAAACTTTTGTGGATTTATTCAAGTAGGGAGAGATTATTTGCTTCACACCTTTAAAAATACTCAGATAAAATGACATCATTCTCTTATAAATTTAAAAATACCCAGATAAAATCCTTCTCTTGTAAATGTAAAACATTTAAAATTAAAAATATGGAAATAAAAAAATACATTTTCAAGTCTTTGTTAAATTTTTTTATTGTGTTTAGATATAGTATAAGTAGTTTTAAGTGAAGGCATAAAAAATAAACTTAATAAACTTTTGAAAAAAAAATATAACATAAAACTTAAATAACAGTTGAACACAATTTTAAAAAACAATTTAATTTCAACCAAAAAAAGGTTAAATAATACATTAAAAAGATGTATGAGTAATAAAAAAAAAAGAACTCTCACATTTTCTTCAGCATTAGACTTTAAAGGAGCATGATCTTGTATTAGGCAACCCATATTAAAGTAGCATCCTGACAACTCCATTGAAATGTTTTCCCATATTACTGAAGAATATTCTCTTTTTTGCAAAATTGACAAAGCTTTATTATAGTATTCAAATGCCTACATAAACATATACATATACATAAACATATACATAAACATATATATATATATATATATATATATATATATATATATATATATATATATAATATATATGTATATATATACACACATATATATATATACACATATATATATATATATATATATATATATATATATATATATATATATATATATATACATATATATATATATATATATATACATATATATATATATATATATATATATATATATATATATATATATATACATATATATATATATATATATATACATATATATATATATATATATATATATATATATATATATATATATATATATATATATATACATATATATATATATATATATATATATATATATATACATATATATATATATATATATATATACATATATATATATATATATACATATATATATATATATATATATATATATATATATATATATATATATATATATATATATATATATATATATATATATATATATATATATATATATATATATATATACATATATATATATATATATATATATATATATATATATATATATATATATATATATATATATATATATATATATATATATATATATATATATATATATATATATATATATATATAATATATATATATATATATATATATATATATATATATATATATATATATATATATATATATATATATATATATAATATATATATATATATATATATATATATATATATATATATATATATATATATATATATATATATATATATATATATATATATATATATATATATATATATATATATATATATATATATATATATATATATATATATAGTTACATTTTGACATGTCGTTAAAATTGATCTGGTTAGTCATTAGTAGAAAAGGTACTGGATGTCTGTACATAGGGAAAAGTATAAAGCAAGAGCAGTACAAAGAAATTTTATAAAATTTTATTCTCTGAGCCTGCAGCTCAGAGAATAAGAACCAATTACATTTTGGGTATATAATTTAAAAAATCCTTAATCTTGACAAGAAAAATCTATTTTACTGTAATAGATCACCGTAAACACCTTGACACTACACAACCAAACACCAACCCTAAATCAATGTATGTACTAAAGCCTCCACCTCTATATTTCTATAATTTTATAAGCGAAAGTTTGCATGTATTAGCAAAAAAAAGTTTAATTAAAGCAGAAAGTGGTTTTATGAGAAAAGATTTTTTTTATTACCTAGGACTTAAGTATATATATTATAAATATTATATATATTATATATATTATTATTATATATATTATAAAATCTGCATTATTTTATCTTTATTACATATTATTATAATTTTATTCCAATGTTATTTGTATGACCAGGTACCTGAAGGTTTGCATAACCAGGTACCTGAAAAACTATTTATAGAATAATTTTCAGTTAAAAAAATCTATAAATTTATTTAATAATTATTTGTATTATATTTTGTTAGTATGTTTACTTAGCAGCATTTAGCTCATAACTATGTATTCTTTACATCATTCGTATATGGCTTGTATTTATGTATAAGCCTTGTAGATTTCAATATCTTTTAAAAAAAACACATGTTTAAAAAAGTAAACATATCTTCAAGAGAGTTGAAAAAAAAAATTTTTTTTTCAAAGTACCTTTCCAAAATATGTCTTTTCTTCTTGAGTAAATTGTCCTCTAATATCATTTGGAGATTCTTTTGAAATGTTTCCATAGACTTGAGCACATAAATACATTAACTTTCCGCTGTTTGAATAAACTAAAGCCAAGTTTTCTCTATAAAATTTGTAATTTAATTACACAATATTATACTGTTCTGTTAACAGCCATGGTCATATTCTCAAAACAAAGTATTATTTGCATGGTCATACAAAGATATATATATATATATATATATATATATATATATATATATATATATATATATATATATATATATATATATATATATATATATATATATATATATATATATATATATATATATATATATATATATATATATATATACAGGGGCTATTTTAGGAAAAAAATTTAGACATCGGCACCCCCTCATCCTTGAGAAATGTGAAAAAATCGGCGTTTTTTTTGGAGAGAAAAGTGGAAAACAGGCATTTTTTTTGCAAAAAAAAAAACAATACCATTTCACCAGGGAAAACGTAAAAAATAAAAAAAGTCCTCAAATTTTAATTTGGGCAGCGCCCAAATCGGCACTCAAATTTGGTTAATGCTGTCGAAAAGGGTCTAGAATAGCCCCTTATATATATATATATATATATATATATATATATATATATATATATATATATATATATATATATATATATATATATATATATATATATATATATATATATATATTACATATAAAAATATATATAATTAAACTAATTTTAATAAAAAAAAGTAATAAAGTTACTTGTCATTAACAATATTAAAAGCTTGAACAGATTGCTCAAAAAATGATAGACTTTTTCTCCATAATTGAATTTCAGAATCCATTGGATATCCATACAACTTTGCCATACCAGCTGCTTGGTTCATGTACATAACACCAAGTTCATTGCGTATGTTTCCCAACCGCCTGGTTAGGTCTATTATCTAAATAAAAACATATATCTTTTTAAATTATTGTTATTTATGTATAATAAGTTTTATTTTTAGTATAGATATATACAGGCCTTGTTTTAAAGCATAAAGTGGCACGCTACTTACGTACACATTCAGCCATTAAAGTTTTTTAAAGCTATTTCAGTTGAGCTACTTTTTAAAAAGTTTGAATGATTATTATATTTGATATTTGAATGATTATTATATTTGAATGATTATTATATTTGATATCAACTCGTTTCTCCGCGCAGCGGCCTTGTTCGTCAAGGCTTGTGTTTCGGAGTTATAGAGTTGAGAGAGGGTTATAGCCACAAAATAAGTAGCCTCTTCGTCTGTAGTGGCCTTCTCGGCCTTGAGGAGGTGAAGTAAAATAAAAAAAATATATATATTTACGCTCTATACAAATATAATAAGAAAAAACAAAGAAATTTTTATTTTTTATTAAATTAGCTTTTCCATCAAAAATATTCAGCAAAAAAAAAAAAAAGAAGTTATTATGACGCATAAAAAAAGTTATCATAAAATAAATTTAATAAAAAAGCTTTTCTTAATTATCTTGCAAGCGCAAGAATATCTATTAAGACAATTTCTCATAACAAGCAATAATAAAAATATTTACCGAATTAAAAAATTAAAAAACATTAATTATTACAAATTTTAAATGACATCTTATAAAGAGTTTATTTATTTATAAATAAATAAAAAAAACTTTTATGGATATAACTCTATTATTAATTTTTCAAAATAATATTTCGAGGGAGTTTAGAATAAATATACTTGATAACATTATAAGTATAAATATATTTAATAACGACGATCTAATAACAAATATATTTAATCTAAACTCCCTTGATCAATTGATATTGAAAAATTAATAACTTTTATAATAAAAATTATTAAGAGTTTTTATTTAATTATTACAAGTATTTACGCTTGAAGAAATAACTCTTGCAATGTCATCATTTATATTTATAAGAAATGATAGTTTAGGAAATAAAAATTTTATATAGTTATATCAGCTTTATATAATTAACAGATTGTGCAACGTCAAAAAATTGAAAACTGAAATTTCAAGAAAGTTATTGAAATTCCTTGTAAACATGTTATAACAATGCATTAAAAAAATATAACACATGTGTTCATTTTTTTTTTGTAAAAATTTTGAAATAACAATAAAAAAATGTTTTGATTCATTTATACAAATGTAGTACAAATGTATTTATGTTAAATGACAAAAAATGTAATAAATTTAATTACTTAATATTAAAAAAATAAAAAGAGTTGAGACAAAATAGACATTCCACAGTATATACATTTACAAATTAAGACTTCTAGATATGTTTTTATTAATTAGTAAATTTAACTTGTTTTGCGTAGGGTTGCCAAACGTTTGGCTTTTACAGAGGTGAATACAGAATATCAAACCTGTAAAATAAATTTTCTTAGTGTGTTCTCCTTTGTAAAAGCCGAACCATCTGGCAACCCTAGTGTTGCGGTAGTTTAAAAAAATTATCGTTCAAAAATAAAATAAAAAAATAAAGGTAATTTTATGTCAAAATCAAGACGAGCAAATTTGTTAAGCCCTTTTTATTTAAAACAAGGCCTGATATATAATATATATATATATATATATATATATATATATATATATATATATATATTTAAATTATTTAATTTATGCAAAACTTATTTTTAATATTATATTAGATTCTTAAGTTATAATTGAATTTATACAACTACTCATTTTTAATTTAAGTCATAAGATTGTTTTTATAAATAAAAAATTTCTTGCTATTAAAATTACATAAATTAAATAATTAAAATAAACTGTGCCACATAAAAAAAAAACCTGAGTAACATTTTCATTTCCAAGAGTAACATTAGTTTTAGCATTTCCTCCTGCTTTTAAAAGAGCATCTTCATATAATTCAGCAGATAGTACTAAAAGAGCTTCTTCCTTTAATTTAAAACAGTTTTGGATTGATTCCACATCAACTTTAGATTCTTTATCTTTATGAACAGATTCCTCATAACTTGCAATGTTAGAAATCTTTAAGTCATACTCATTCATAGCATAAAAATCTTCCATCTCTGAAGAAATGTTTATGTTACCTTTAGACATGATTGTCAGTATATCTGCATAATACATAATTAATTTTACAAAACCATTTACAACCATAGACTTTTGTTGCATGCATGAATGACATAAAAATGATAATTTGATAAAGCGAAGACCATGGCCAAACTTTCTTTTCGAAATATAGATGTCAACAAGTGCAACATAATTTAAAATTGCCAATTTTAAAAGGTTGTCTTTTGAGTTAACATCATCTTTTAAATTTCTTGTTTGCTCAACTGCAGTTTGATTAATCAAAGTTAATGGTTGTGTGTCCTTGTCATTATCATTGTTATATAGTAATAATTTTGCATCAGCATTTTTTGAGGAGGGTATTGTATAGTTTGACATTTTGGAGAGCAAAGACAGAGAGTTTGCAATATGAACAATGGCTTTTTTGCACTTTGTTTCTAGAGATATAGGCGGCATAGGCTTTGGTGGTAAGGTAGGTTTTTTTGCTTTGGAAGAAGAACACATCATTTTAACAGAGATTGTAGAAACAGGTGATGTGGTTACTGGAGCTGTTACTTTTTCATTTTCACTATCATTTTCATCATCCTCAAAACTCGATTCTGAGTCAGATTCATCATTGTGTTCTTTGTTTTTTAGTAAACTATTACTATATAACTGAGACAACAAGTAGCCAGCATCAAATGTTAGTGTGGGTTCATTTTCATTACTAATCAAACAAATACAACTCTCCAACATCTCAACAAGCTTTAAATCATTTTTGTCATCATAATCTTGGGAATTATACATGTTACGAGCAATTCTATATAGTAACATTGCAACAGAGACTTTAAATGGATCCTTATGTCCTTCACCAGACCCAATAGAAGTCAAATCATATAATTTTACCACATCATCTTTCCTACTTTTAAACAACCAATATGTATGGCCCTCTTTTGTACAATTTGATTTTAAGAAAGATAAGATATTTTGTGCCACATCGCATATAACTTTAGGAGAAAAACTACTCCCCTCTAAGTTTGGGAGTTCAGAAGTTTTAAATTGTTCATATTTTTGCACAATACCATTAAGATGATAGCACATAATAAGTTCAGGAACATTACACATCAAATTATCAAGCCAGTAATCAATTCCGGTCAAAACGCTAATAGGCTTGGATGATTCACTAACAAATGAAAAAAAAGAGAATGACAAAAAAATTAAGTGTATTACACTCACCAATGTGCAATACTGTTGCTGAAAAATTCTTTGCTTATATATATATATATATATATATATATATATATATATATATATATATATATATATATATATATATATATATATATATATATATATATATATAACACACACACACATCGCAAATGTATATGTGTGCATATATATATATATATATATATATATATATACACACATCGCAAATGTATATGTGTGCATATATATATATATATATATATATATATATATATATATATATATATATATATATATATATACACACACACACACACATCGCAAATAGTTGATTTTCTATTGTATATATACAAACAGTTAATTGTATATATACAAACAAAACTGTTGTTAGTATGTGTTAATTCAAAACTTGTTAAAACTTTATTTTATTTTTTTAATTTAAAACATTCAAAAATAATTTTAAAGAAAAACTAAATAAAGTATAAATAATAAAAGTTCTTATTTTCTTATTTTTTCTTAGTTTCTTTTATTTTACTAGTACTTTTTTGTGTAAACAAAATAAACACAAAATTTTTAAATCTAAAATAAATGTTAAAAAAAAAATGTTGAAGGTTTATAATTAATATTATCTTTATTTATCTTTACTATAATATTTAATATTATCTTATCAAATTTTATAAATTTATAAAAAAATATATAAACTTATAAATATATATATTTATCTTATTAAATTTTATAAATTTAATTATTTGGTCATATTAAATGGTTAATGCTGTGGAAGTCAAGTTGTTTTTTATTTAGTATTTCAAAATGATAGAATTTTATAACTTTTAAATCACAAAATTGTTTGCAAACTCAGAATCTATCGCAGAAGGTTTTACCAGAACTTTATTTTTAAAAATGACTGATCAAAGATAACAAAATTTACATTATAAACAAATTAAATTAATATATTGTCAGCTCATAATACTATTCATATTAAAAATTTATTAAAATTATATATAAATATGTAATTATCTAATTTATGTAAATTTAAAGTTATGTAAATGTAAAAAAATATTTTTATATTATGTTACAACATAAGGTTATTTAAGAAGAATTTTTTCATCAGCATAATATAAAATCTAAATAAATTAGATAATTACATATTTCTATAAAATTTTCATAAATTTTTGATACAAAACTTGCATTCCAAGCTGACAATATTTCTAAGGGCAGTCAATTTTACATTGAAATAATAGAGATGGCAGATTAAATATTTACGAAAAAAAAAAAAGCATAAAGTTTGATTTAAAAGGCCTGATTTGATGAACTAGTTGAAATTTTGGCATAAAATCAGCACCTTATATTTCAGGCTTGGACAGGAATGGCGTGCGATCGCACTCTGTAACTGACCACGCTAATATTTTTATTTATTTACAACTTGACCACGGCTATTTTGATGTTTTAACAATTTGAATGCAATAAAAAAAGTGTTATGTTATAAATATCTTTTAATCGTTGATCTTTTCTTTAGTTTTTTATTTACACAAAGGCTTTAAATAAAACCATAAAATTAATTATAGTTATTGTTTACATAAACGCTTGTGTAAAATAATAAAAAATATTATAAATAAGTTTTTTCTATGTAGGCATTTTTTTATGATAAATTTAAACGTTTGAAACTATTTTCTTATGACTTTCTAAAACATTTTTAAACCATTATTTTTAGAAAGAATTTTTTAAGCTACTTAATTTGTGAATAAGTTCAAAAGCTTTTGTGACTACTAACTTTTACACATTTTATGTGAATTACACAAGAATATAAAATAACTTTATTTACTTATATAAGCATGTATTTTGTTGATTTAATGAAAAAGTTTTAAAGCATTTTGTAATGTTCATACAATTAATTTTTATGATTAAACTGACGATTTTTTTAAATGTTTTAAATAAACATTTTATTTTTTGTGAACAATTTTTTTTTCCAATTTTGTTAGAAATGAATGAGATTATATCTTTTATAATAACTTTTAAATTCGTTACGCGAAGGGCTTATTAATAAAGTTTTTTGCAACTTTTTTGACAAAATAAATGTTTATACAATTTAAAAATATTATATAAAACACTTTTAATAAATTTAATAAAATTTGTTCGTTTATTAAACCAATCATTAGTAGTAATTTGTTACTTGATTTAAAAACGTTTTGCGTAACTTTAATAACGCTTAAAAAGATAAGCTTTAATAACATTTATTTCATACGTAATTAAAAACATAACAAAAAGTTTTTCTTCGAATTTAAGTTTTTATTTTCATTTTAGTGCTTATATAATTTCTTTTTCGTTATGAATTTGTTTTTCGTTTCCTTTTTTTGTTAGGAATTTTTTTTTCGTGATTTTTTTTTATTTAATTTCTTTTCTAGTTTAAATTTAGCTTAGCGTTTTTACATTCAGAACATTTCTGAAATTTTTAACTCATCAAAACATATAAACATTGTTTATTAAACAATCGTGGTCAAGTTGTCAAAAAATAAAATCATTTGCGTGGTCAGCAATAGCACTCGATCGCACGCCATTCCTGTCCAAGCCTGTATTTGAGTAAATACTTACTTTGATATATATCTATATCAAAGTAAGTGCCATTTTAGTTAGCTATTTAGTTAAGAGAGGGTTTCAAAATAAAAAACAAAAAAACAAACAAGAACTTAGTGTCTTTTAGACCTTGGGGAGTTAGTGAAAAGTTGTTACAAAATAATTATGGACATATTGATTCAAACATTTTCCCTTAATGTCCAGCTAATCCTATACATATTAGACATATCAATTACCTGTAACCTTTTTTTTTATGAATTGTAGTTTACTAAAAACTACTATTATACTAGAAAAAAGTGAAATTAGATAAATGGAACAAAAATGGGCCAAAAAAAGGATGCTAGGACCCATCTGTCTATTTTAATCATTGTGATTCAGAATTTTATGCTAAAATTGTTTAAAATTAGGTCTAAAAACTGTTCATATACCTATGTATGTGTAGAATTCAATATATGTAGAATTCAACAATCTTTTACAATTGTAAAGTCATAAAAACATTTTGTTGAATAAAACGTTTGAAAGACTTTACAATTGTAAAAGACTCTTGTTTTAGCCAAAATCTTGAACTTAAATATCAACAGGCCATATTAAAATTTTATTTTTATCTACTCACAAAATTGCAGATATTATTGGAAAGAAACTTTTAATAAATTGGAAAGTGTATACAATCTTTTGTCACATGCAACCTTTTGTTAAATATCAATATAATGATTTATCTAAGTTTGCTAAGCAATGCGCATAATCTGTTCATTTCAAATTCAAACCAACATGAATCATGTTTAAAAGACAAATATTAACAAAAAATATGAGACATATTTTTATTGGATCTTAGGGACAATTGTACAATTGTACAATGACTAATGAAGGCATAACCTTATAATCTTATAAAAGAGACACTTTTTAATAAGAATTTTATAAATAAATTAAAAAAACAAAAACAAGAAAGATAAAGAAGAATAAATAAAATAAGAAAAATAAAAAATGTGAAAAAAAGCAAAAATCAAGAAAAGAAAAATAAAAGACAAAAAAACAAAGTCAAAAGAAAAAAACATTTGAAAATGGAAAATAATAAAAAGTAAAATATAAAAAACAGCTCCAATTTTGAAGAAACGAAAAAGTAAAGTAAAATATAAAAACTGCTCCATTTTTGAAGAAACGAAAAAGCATAATTTTCAAATTTTATTAATTTTGAGGGAAGTTTGTTTTTGCTGTTGTTGCTGTTTTTTGTTTTTGTATTCTTGTGTATTGTTTATTGGGCATTGTAGTGTATAGTTCATATTATTATATGTTTTAGTGTGTTATTTGCATCTGTATTTTTTTTTTAGTTTTATATTGGTTGAACATTTTTTTTTTTGTATATTATAAATGTATATTTTTTTAAATATATATATATATATATATATATATATATATATATATATATATATATATATATATATATATATATATATATATATATATATATATATATATATATATATATATATATATGTATGTATATATGTATGTATACACATATTCAGAACATCTGTTTGTTTACTTTGTTTTTTATTACTTATATTCGTTTATACAAAAAAAAATTTCAATAGAAATGTTTCATATCTCTCTGTGGGCTTTTATTGCTCAGTCTAGTTCCAGCACTACAGATTACCTGCATCAAATAAAACAAAATCAAGTAAACTGTTATATATATTTATAAGCTTTGTATTGACACCTGCCTTTTTCTCTCTGACCTATTAAAAACTCTTTGTCCTCTATCGTCATTGTCATCAAGGGCATCAGCATGCGCCACATCAAACAGGTTGTCCAGAGTTGAAATGAAATTATTTTTTTGGGCCTTCTGCATCGGTATCTGATGCTCCTTATTCTTTTATATTTCAGAGACTTTTTCCAGTTTGACAATTTTGGTTATCTTGTATAGGTATTCTTGCCTTTTGTCAAAACGTTTGAACCTCTCGCACTGTAATTGCAGACAACTCATGTATGGTTTTATTCAGTTCAATATGGTGATTTAAGAATATGCACAGTACCATATTAAAGGTGACAGCTTGCTAACTGTTAACTCTGTGATCGTTGATTCTAGTAGAAAAAGCTTACTGTACAATCTAGTTGCCATTTCTGTTAATTTGATTGTTGAACAATGCACTTTAAACTTATGATAACTATGAAAGAAAATCGAATTGTCAATCAATAAGAAATGTAATTAAACCAATGTCATCAGCATCAGTCATGTCATGAAATTATTAATTAGCATAGAACATTATTTGCTATGATAGAAAAAATAACATGCTTGGAAATCATCTCAAAATTGTGTTTGATTCAGTAACTATTAGGAGTTAGAGGTGCGTATTTTATACTCAAGAGTGACAGACAGTACAACTTTGATACTTTGATATCATTGAACTACCTCAAAATGTTCCATTGAGTCAATATTTGGTCTGGGTTATTTTTACATGTAAAAGAACACCTTTAGGGGCAAGACAATCCAATTTTAAAACTTCAAAAATAATGGTCACCTTAATAAATATATATATATATATATATATATATATATATATATATATATATATATATATATATATATATATATATATATATATATATATATATATATATAAATATATATATATATAGTCTTGCATGGTGGTCACAGTTTTTCCCATAAACTGTTGTTTTAAAGGGCGCCTTAACAAGCCTGACCAGAAAATGTTGAAAAACTTCAAAAAAAAAAATTTTTTTTAAATGATAGAGTGCCTGCCCAAACCAATCCTTCAGTCGATGTAGCAGCACTTCCTTGCGAGTCAGGCTACTTGTCAGTTGATGTAGCAGCACTCCCTTGCGAGTCAGGCTATTTGTCAGTCAATGTAGCAACACTCCCTTGCCAGTCAGGCTATTTGTCAGTCGATGTAGCAGCACTCTGTTGCGAGTCAGGCTATAAGATAATCGATGTAGCAACACTCCCTTGTAGCAGCAGGCTATAAGATAGTCGATGCAGCAACACTTACGCATGTTTTAAAAATGTTTTTTAATAAAACAAAAACAAAAACACCACTAATTAAAAAAAACTTTCTAGTTATTATTATTGCCGTTTTTTTAAAAAACAATAAAATTTAATGTACTTCCGCATTAATTTAATTGCTTTGACATTTCGACGACAATAAAATGCAGCTTAAGAGACGAGGTAAAAAAATTGTAGTTGAAAGAGACTTTTTATTACCATAAAAGTCTCTTTATATATATATAATCTTTAATTTTATATTTTTGTTATGTTTGTGTTAAAGTATTATTTCTTTTAATTTTAAATATTTATTGTAACCACAATTATTATTATTTTTAACTTTACTATTATTATTCTAATTTTATTATTTTTAATTTAAATAACTGTTTTATGTCCTTATTAGTTGTTACGTTTTATCAGTCAACTGTTTGTAACTAACTTATATGTATATATAGCTATTGTGTTTATAAAAACAAGTGACTTATTATTTTGATTATTATTGTTACTATAGTTCTTATTGTTGTTTTTATTATTATTATTATTGAGGTTCTTATGTTTATTACTGTAAATATTATTTTTATTATTATAATTACTTTATTATACTTATAATTATTATTAATTATATATATAAAGATCTATATTTTTGGTGATTACTTAAGATTAGTGAATTACTATTATTAAATATCTATGAAATTATTTTCAGAATAAATATGATTAATATAATATTTTTGAAAATATATATTGTAATAGTAAATATATATTGTAATAATAAAGAATTTACTAAAGGAATTTAGACCCCTTTATATTTTCAATTTAAACTTCTTTACAATTATTATTATTATATATATATATATATATATATATATATATATATATATATATATATATATATATATATATATATATATATATATATATATATATATATATATATATATATATATATATATATATATATATATATATAAATATATATATAGTCTTGCATGTCTCTTGCGTAGCATCAAAAAATATTTCCCATAAACTGTAGTTTTAAAGAGCGCGTTAATAAACAAGACCAGAAAAAGATTTAAAAATAAAATTTTTTTTTTTAATTGATAGACTGCCTGGCCAAACCAAACCCTCAGTCGATGTAGCAGCACTCCCTTGCGAGTCAGGCTATTTGTCAGTCGATGTAGCAGCATTCCCTTGCGAGTCAGGCTATTTGTCAGTCGATGTAGCAGCACTCCGTTGCGAGTCAGGCTATTTGTCAGTCGATGTAGCAGCACTCCGTTGCGAGTCAGGCTATTTGTCAGTCGATGTAGCAGCACTCCGTTGCGAGTCAGGCTATAAGATAGTCGATGTAGTAACATTTACGCATGTTTAAAAAATGTTTTTTATTAAATCAATAACAAAAACACCACTAATTAAAAAAAACTTTCTAGTCGTTATAATTGCGGTTTTTTAAAAATTTTTTAAAAAACAATTAAATTTAATGTACTTCCGCATAAATTAATTGCTTTGACATTTCGATGACAATGAAAAACAGCTTAAGAGACGAGGTAATTAAAATTGTAGTCGTAAGAGACTTTTTTTACATTAAAATGCTCTTAAAGCGACACTATATGAGTATATATATATACATATATATATATATATATATATATATATATATATATATATATATATATATATATATATATATATATATATATATATATATATATATATATATATATATATATATATATATATATATATATATATATATATATTTACAATTATTATACATACATACACAGGCCTTGTGATGAATAAAAACTGTGCGACGCATAGCACGACATGATTTTTGACGTCATTAAATTCTTTTTATTTGCTTTTCATACTTATCGACATTAACTGCACCAATTTACTTAATTACCACAAAACTACTTTAAATCATTAATGTAGAAATGTTATTATTTAAAAAAGTTTTGGAATGTTTCATTTTTTAATATGTAAAAGCTTTTGTTTATTTTATCGACATTTGACACATTTTGTCTATACTAAACGAATAAAAAACATAACTAAACATTTAAAAAAGATTATAAAATATGCTAATATTTGATTTTTTTTTTTCTCAAATATGTAATTTAAAGTTTTTTGAATAATTATTTTTTCATTAAAAAAAGTCAGCGAGTAATAAACTGGAAATTTTAATATTGTACGATTAAAAACTGTGCAATAGCTAATATTTTTACTAGCGATTTTATATAATATTTATTTTTATTTATTTTCATAAAGCGGTTGATTAGGACACTCACTCGTATTACTAAAAAACTTTAACAAAATTTTTAAATAGATTTTTAATGTTTACAAGGAATTTTATTTTTGGTAAAACAAAATAAAATAAAATGTTAGAATAAAAATCTTATAAGTATTAAAGACATATTTCAGCGAAAAAATTATTCTTAAAAATTATTTGAAAAACTATTGACTTTCTATTTTTCAGCAGCTGTTCTTGAGCACGCTTCGTTGAGTTTCGGTAACATTTAACAAAAAAGCGATTGCTATTATTTAAGTAAATTTTTTCGACTTTTTACAAAAATTTTAATAACTGTACTTTTTTATTGAATCAAGTAGAATACGTTTTAATATTAATCCTTTTTTTTTTATTTGCGCTTACCAATTTTTAAAATGTTTCCTCGAAATTACTCTTAAATACTTTAAATTCGTCTAACAGTTAATAAATATTTTTAAATCTATAGAATAATTTTAAAACCTAACAAACCTCCGTAAAATAATTATTTAAGTTAAAAATCTAAAACTAAAAGAAAGTATTTTTGTTCAATTTTATCGACAACTTTGCTATTGCTGAATAATTTTATTAAAATGTTAGCTTAAAAAGATTTAAACTTTTTTTTAATCTGAATTTTTTTTACTTGTAAATAATGAGCATATTTATTTTTTTTGTAATTCAAACTTTTATATCAACTGCGTGCAGTTTTTAAAATACTTTATTAAATCTTAAAATAATCATAAATTACTTCATTAAAATTCCGCTCAAAAATATCTTTGAATATACTCAAACAAAAAATTTTCTGCTCGACGCAAATAGCCCTAGCTACACGTAAAATCGCTCTTGGACAACGTAAAATTCACATCGCCCGACGCTTTATCGCAAGGCCTGCATGCATACATACATACATACATACATACATACATACATACATACATACATACATATATATATATATATATATATATATATATATATATACACACACGAACATATATTAAAAAAATACTTATAAACAAAAATGTTTTTTCTGACTGACATGACATAAAACCTGGTGGTCTTATTGGTCCACCCACTATATATAAACAATAGCCAGAATTAGAAGTTATTGAAAAGTACTGAACAATCATTTAAGTTTACAAACTTCATAGAAAAAAAAGACATTGAATAACTCTGACTGTTACGCACAAGCTTATTGAGATTTTTAAAGCAATAGTTTGAAAATTTATCTGGAAGATTAAATCGATTTCTTTGAAAGATAAAAAGTTCAAGTTTTAAATAATAATTTAACTATTACTTTATATATAAATTGTTTAGTTTTACATAAATACTAATGAGATCTTTTTTTATTAGTTTTTCTAGTTTCATATTTATTTCATTTACACATTTTATACTATATTTTTTTATGTTTAAGTAATTCTTACTCAATATAAAAATGTTTAATATGCACACTTACTGTAATCTTAAACTGACTGCTGGGTACTTTCCTCTGCCAAATATTGGAAGATCTGATCCCACAAGCATTGTTATATCCTCAAATTTCCATAAAACATCTCTTTGAAAGCTTGATGTAAGATTTGTAGCATTCTCTGTAACAGATTGCAATTGTTTATCAGCAAGAGTATCACTTGAAACTTTATCTTCATTTTCACTAATACTGTAATACATAAACTTTGATTGCATTATTTCTAAATGACTTAGTTCTTTGTTACGTTTTTTAGGTAAAAATTCTGTTTTCTGTGTTTCAGCACTATATAAATCATAGAGCCAATTCCAAGGCTTAATATTTTTTTCACCAATATGAGAATGTAAATAAGTAGGTATATCAAAATCATTAAGAAGTAAAGCTTTTCCAATGCGATGAACTGACATGCTAACTTGAGAAGAACTAAATGAAATTTTCAGTAGCTTCTTTATGTGCTCTGCAGAAGAAACTACATCAACTTCCTCTATACATTTAGGATACTTTTCTGCCATTAACAAGCTAAAATATTAACATAAAGACAATAAAATGTCTATATTTTAATATTATACTATTAATAAAACAAGAATAATGCATTAAATAGGCTATCATTAAAAACAAAAAGAATGAAATAAAATTATTTTTTTTTCCAATGGTTGCAGGGTGAAACCTGTAACTTTGTTGATACTGGATGTAGATAAAAAAGAAATTAATTACCCCTTTTAATATTTTTTGAATGAGCTGGTCAAATTTATTAAGTGAAGTAAGATTGTACTCTTTTTTTTTAAACTGTCAAAAATGAATAGTTTTCTATCAAACTGTGCACTCTTGTCATACTGTACTCTAATCAGACTGAATACCTATATTTAAAATATATACTATCTTGTGGGACTGTGAACAGTGTATACCTATATTTAAAATATATACTATCTTGTGGGACTGTCAGAAACAAAGGCGGTTTTAAGTGTGTGGGGGCAAAGACAAATTTCATCTTATAATGGATTTTTTCAGGAATATAATTGGCTAGTCAGCATTTAACACATTTTAGTCAGGAAATTTCTAGTTTTTACGACTTTTTTTTTTGAAGGCAGCCTGCATTTTATTTCTAAAATCACCCCTAGTCAGATAAGATACTCGCTTGTTCGCTTTTCTAAATACTAAAATGTAGTTAGTAACTTGCTCAAAGTATTACATAAAATAAAACATTTCATCATTAAACTATTAGTTTAAAATATTAAAGATTATTGTTTAAAACAATATTGTAAGAGCGAAGTCATTAATCTGTTAAAATCTTTACAAATATCAAGTAAAATTTTGAATATGGAAAAAACAAGGTAAAAAAATATTTTAATCTGGAATAAACAAGATAAAAAATATTGGATCTTACTTTTGCTTCAAAGTAGAAAAAAAAAGGTTTTATTTTGTACCAGTAAATAAAGTTTTTAAGTAATGCTTATCAAAATAATTATTCATCTATTCCAACAAATAATATTTTTATTTTATAGTATCATATAAACATTAATTTTATCAAAACATAGATCTTAACCTGGTACAATCAAACGATTTTCTTTTTTTGGTTGAAAAGTTTGAAAATCTTCCAGCCATATTGTCATTTAACCAGTTTGATGGTGGCATATTTAGATCTGTAAACTAAATTAAATATATATATATATATATATATATATATATATATATATATATATATATATATATATATATATATATATATATATATATATATATATATATATCCATATATATATATATATATATATATATATATATATATATATATATATATATATATATATATATATATATATATATATATATATATAAAATATGTATTTATAAACATACAGTGAATTTCAATCTAAAATGAAATATTTATTTCAGTTCAAGATTTATTAAGATTCAAGGGTTTGTCAAGATTTTGGCAGTCCTGGCCATAACCCCAGCCCCAGTTTTTTTTAGTTACATTTCTTATCATTTGCTAACTTTTCATTTGTCATTTGTACAACTTCACTTGTTTTAAGTTTCAATAAGATTTTCTTTTTAAATAAGAAAATTTTATTATTTCGAATAAAATTTTTAAATAAAATTTACATTTGTTTAAGTATAAATTTAATTTGAGTAAAAAGATTATAACAAGCCTTCCTGGGAAGCATAAGCGGTCGCATGCCTTGTTTGTCCATGGTTACAGTATTTTTATTAGACAAACTGACCACACATCTTTTAACTTATAAAGCATTTCAATAATTTTTAGCAAATAGCTAAACTTATCTACTAAGAAAAAGATTATATATATCCTAAAAAAAGGAAACAAAATTGTAACAAAATATCAAATTTAATTAATTAAACTAGAAAATTTAATAATTTAAAAAAAAAAAAAAAATTTTAACGTTTATTCTTTTTTTTGGAGTGGTTGTTTATAAACATATTATATTTTATTTATGCAAGTTATTCAGGATTTTTATCAGTCCATATAATAAAGAAACTAATTGCTATGCACACTAGAACTATGAAATTTTTTTTTCTTATGTTTATTCGTTTTGACATTTTTTCACTTTTAAAATTGTTTTTGCTATATTTGACATTTTTTCTCAATACTTATTTAATAGGAAAATAAAAATTAATTGCTTTTTATTTGTAAAATAAGCTATTTACTAATTTAATAGCAATAGTTCATCAGGAAATAAACATATCAGATTTAAATGCACAATTTGAATAATTCAACAAAAGTGCAGACTATTTCGATGGGAGTATTGAAAACAACCAAATATTTTATACTTAAATATTAGTATTAATGACTTTTTATTCTTTTACATGAAAAACTTGTTAAAAAAACATTTTATTTTTTTTCACAAATAAATAGCAATTACTTTTCTTGCTTTCTTGTGCATTGATAAAAACAGTAAAGTTAAACAAAAACATTTGAAAAACAAATTTAAAAAGTCCATTTTTCTAGCTCAAATGATAAAGTATTTCCTTAATATATTGACTAAAAAATGTCGCGTATCAAAAAATATTTTTATTTTTGGAATACTCTTATCTGCTTTTTTCCTCGATTTGTATCAATTTTGGTAATGGAAAATAACTACCCCCTAAATATGAGAAAACAAAAACAGCAAAATATTAAGGTATATTATTCTTTTGAAAACATTTTACTTTTTTAATATTTAAGTTTTAAGCTTATCTTATTAAGATTTTTTTTTTTTTAACATCTTCGCTTCCAACAAGGCTGCAAGCAACCACTAATTAGTGTTCGAAATTACTGGAACAGAAAAGATGAAGATTGTAGAGCAAGATAATGATTGACAGACGACTTTAAAGATTGCAAATTATATGAATCAGGAAAACAAGATGAAGGAAGCGAATTCCAAAGAACTGATGTTCGAGGAAAAAAACTAGACGAATAAGAGTTTTTGGAGCATTTAGGAACAGTAACGAAAAAAGGATGAGACTTAATTGAATGACGAGTAACACGAGAATGAATTTTAGTAGATGGCACAAGAGACACTAGCTCTTTAGAGCAGTGCCCATTATAGTATTTGTAGAAAAGAGAAAGAGAAGCAACATTATGTTGCTTATTGAAGGTTGGCTGCAAGAGCAAGTCCAACTATGCTTAGAATGCGTTTTTGCACCTTGTCTAAAAGAGAAAGGGCATTATTTTCTATTTCGTATATAACCTTTGTTTCTTTTTTTCTAGTATTGATGTTTTATTCTCTCTAGTTTCATAAAGCTTTATTTTGCCGCAAATTCTTAAAACACTATATAAAAACATGGTTAAGTTGTCTAAAAAAAAATATATTTGTTATATTTAAATTTGTATAATATATATTAATATATATATATATATATATATATATATATATATATATATATATATATATATATATATATATATATATATATATATATATAAAAGAATAAGAAAAAAAAAGAATAAGAAAAAGGTTTTGCAGCTATTACAATAAAATTAATTGTTAGTTAAAAACTACTTTAGGCGTGGACGAACAAGGCGTGCAATTGCACGCATTTCCTGGGAAGGCTTGTATAATGTTATGAATTACTATGGAGACAAAAAAATTACTGAGAGGAATTTAAATACAAGTTACCACAATTCAAAGATCTTTTGAGAGAGAATTGTGCCTTAGTAACATACTATTTCAAAGCTCTTATATATAGCAAATAGTCCATGTCAAATTTTTATTTTGTGCCAAAAGACATAAACAATTCTCTAGATTTAAAGTAGCTATTTAATGGAATTATATTCTACATAAGTACATTGAAAATTTCTGAATGTTGCATATCAGCGACAAATCCAGAATTTTTGGTGTTTGAGAACCCCTCCCTCCCCCACCCCATAAAAATGAGGGCAACAAATTGATAAAATACTTTTTTGTACTATTCTCAACTAGATTATACTCATCGATAAATTTTAATTCTGAAACTTGAAATTTATTGATGAATATAAGTAATCAATTTGTTGCCCTCGTGTTTTAGGTAAGGAAAGGCAGTGAAATTTTAGGGATTTTGTGTTCCCAGCCTCTAATAGTTGCAATTTTTTGCTAAGCATCATTATTCGACATAATACAAACATATAAATGTTTGGAGTTTCAAACACAAAAAAATAGATCCGCCACTGTTGGATATATTGTTTTTCTGTCATAAAATGCCAAGCAATAACTGAACAAATAAAAATTAATGGGTTAAACAAATAAAAATAACAATGACATCAAAACAAATGAAAAGCTGGTTAATGTGCAGCATTTGACCGATGATGTTACAAAATCAAGCTTTACTAAAATTATACTAAGATGCTCAGCAATGATAAGCAAGTAGTTCATTTCAAAGAAAAAAGCTCCCTCTCCATCAAATAAAAATGAACCACTATAAAACTAAACAATAAGGGCTATAAACAGTATTGTTTTGAGAATTCTGCAAAGATTCCAAGTTATTCTTCAAACCCTTAGTGATGTAGCAATAACTCCCTTGCATATTTTTCTTTTACCAATTAAAGTATGTACTGAAGCCCTCATAGCTCCCCAAACTGGTATGAGATCAGATTGCTAATCTAAATATGCTTTAATTTTTCTGTGTATATGTATGAATGTATGCATGTATCCATTCAGTTGGTGTGACATCATGTGGCATGACATCATTAAAAAGTATTGATATAAAATTAACCATCTTGAATTGAAGAAAAACAAACTAAAATATCGGTTACAGCTTGTTCAGTTAATTTATTTTTTTTAAAATGCTAAAAAGTTGTTGTGCAAGTTAAAAGTAATTTGCACTAGCAACATATAAAAAAAATCAAGAACTCAAGTCATAGAGATAAAGTACTTCAAAGAAAGTGGTTGAATACAATAAATTGTGCTGTAGCTAGTAGTGCATACAACAAGCAATAGTCTCTTAAATCTTCTAATGTTTATGTTTGTTTGACACAATTTATTACCGGTGGGTTACTTTTAATTTACATTTTAATTTAGTATTGCTAAATAACTATTGAAGTATCAGCATTTTTTATGCCTTAAAATAACCAAAACTATATGTAGACACAATTTAAGGCATTATTTTATTTTAACAGTGGTTTAAAAATATGTAAAAATAAAGTAAAACCACCTAAAAGACATATTTTGCAGACATCTTTCAGCTATTTTTTTTTTATTAACTTCCAAATTAATTGTAGGATAAAAAGTTATTCTTAAATAACATTTTCTCATCTTTTGATTTCACAACGCCGCCACATGATTCTAACTGGATATCTGTCTGTATGTATTTGTGTATGATGTATCCTTGAGGTCGCGATCGGGTCACAAAAACGAGCTACCATCTTTGTAGGGGAAAAACATTGAACAAAATGCGTAATTAGCGCATTTTGTTCATTGTTTTAAATTTAAGGCATTGAAAAAAATGCGCTAAAAACGCGCTTTAATCAATGTTTTTCCCTACAAAGATGGTAGCTCGTTTTGTGCGAGATTGCGACCTCAAGGATATGCGTATGTGTGGGTCAGAGATGCATGCAAAAGACCTAAATAGAATATGTTTATAAATATAAACTTTAATCTATAATATTTTTAGAATAAAGTACTTAAATAAATTTGTAGATTTTAATTCGGCTTTTATTGTATCTTTAGTATGTGACTACTATAGTAACAAAGATACATATTACATAAACATACAGATCTTGAGTTGACTTATTTATGTCATGGTCCAGATATCGGTCTTAAAGTCTTAATTCTTGGTCTTATTTTTGGTATTAGCCTTTATTGTCTAGGCTGCATCTCAAGTGTGTGTATATATAAGTATATGTGTAAATAAATACGTATATATTTAACAATATTTCAAGTATTTTAAATATTATTACAAATATATTCAATAATGATTACTTTAGTCAATAGAAACCTTAAGTAAATAAAATATATTTGTGTACATGCAAACATTACACCACTTTTTAAAAAAGGAGACAAGAAAGATCCACTCAACTAATGACCTATCTCCTTAACATCGATACCAAGTAAGATAATAGAGAAAATAATTAGAAAAAAACTGATAATTTATATAACAGAAAACAATCTGTTAATGTCTCAACAACGTGGATTTGTACAAAATAAAGGGTGCCTAACAAACCTATTAGAAACTTTCGATGTTATTACAACTGAAATTGAAAATGCTTATCCAGTTGATATATTGTTCCTAGATTTTGCAAAGGTGTTCGATAAGGTGCCCCACTATCGACTTATACATAAAATTTCTAACTATGGAATTAAAGGCAATATTTTAAATTGGATTGATTCTTTTTTTAAAAACAGAAAACAAAGAGTGGTAATGGGTGAAGTTGTATCAGATTGGTGCGAGGTTTATAGTGGTGTACCACAAGGCTCTGTATTGGGTCCTCTTGATTTTCTGTTATATATCAATGATCTTCCCCAATGTATCTCTTCAATCGCAAAATTATACGCTGATGATACTAAAATCATATCTGTTATAAAAGAACATAATGATCTAACTAATATGCAAAATGACATTGATTTGTTAACTGAATGGTCAAATGTATGGTTAATGGACTTTAACATAAATAAATGCAGTGTTATGCACTTTGGAAGAAAAAATATTAACTATAACTACACTATAAAGCACGACAATCAAAGTTTTTTTCTAAAAACAACAACAAAAGAACTAGACTAGGGTGTAATTAATTCATCCAATATGAAATGAAATCATCAGGTTCAAGTAGCTACAAGTAAAGCACAAAGAATCTTATGTTTAATAAGAAAAAGCTTTACTTATCTTAACACTGAAATGGTAAGGCAACTTACACATCGCTGGTTAGACCACACTTGGAATTCGCAGCTCCAGTGTGGAGTCCAAGTAATAAAAACAATATCAATGACCTAGAAAAAATTCAAAGAAGAGTAACAAAGCTAGCCCCTGAACTAAAACATCTAAGTTATACCGAAAGATTGACAAAGTTGGGCCTCACAACTCTGGACACAAGATGTATAAGAGGAGATCTCATTGCTTTTTTCAAATTAACAACTGAGATTGATAAGATATTGTGGTATAAAGAGCCTAATAAAGCTTCTTCCCAGAGACTTCGAGGTCATCCAATGAAATTTGAAAGAGAATTTGCAAAAACAACACAGAGACATAATTTTTTTACGAACAGAGTGATACCTCATTGGAATGCTTTACCTGAAAAAGTGGTTTCTGCAATGACAGTAAATTCTTTTAAAGCTAGACTAGATAAACATTTGTTAACAGCTGTTAAAGTATAAATTTTAAACTTTATGCTCCGCAACAATCGTTGTTACAGCAGTTTGTATTACTATTTGTATTACTATTACTATGCATATATTTAATAATATTAGCAATATTTTGAATATTAACATAAATATATTCATTATTGATTTTGTTTATAGAAATATCAAACTAATAAAATTGAACAAGAAATAAAGTAAATAAAAATTTACATGGATTTTTATTTACTTTGTTTCTTGTTCGACTTCAACTTTTATTTACTTTATTTCTAGTTCACTTTTTTACAATAGGTACATATTTTTAGTTCACATTAAAAAAGTAAGTGGCTAAATTATCTCTTTATTTCAGCTAAATCTTGTATATCAAGCAAAAACCCGAGTAAAATTGTAAATAATATCTAAATCATACTAAAAATTGAAGAATGTCAATAAGACAACGTACCTTTTCTAGTTGAACATAAACTAGAGGTAATCTTTCTTCGTACTTGAGAACAGCATTAGAAGAGATGTTGGTTGCCATTTTGATTTACTTGCCTAATTTTTTTTATAATACACTTAAAATTAGATTTAAATTTTATGAGGACACTAATTTTATCGTTCGAAAATGAAAAGTACCGTGAATAATATATAAACAAAGTGTTTTTAATTTTACTCTCAACCGAGACCAAAAAATAAATGTGACGATAATTTGTATAGAAAAATAAATAATATAACAAATTTCTTCCTGAATCTTCTAGATTATTCTAAAATTCTTAAAATTTAATTTCGTTCGGAATGCCTATACATGTCAATGGAATTTGTTCGGATAATCTGAAATAAAAAAAAATTTAGCACATGGTAACCGGTACCGTCTAGTAAATTAGCGACAAGATCACGCGATATTGAAGGTATCGGTATAAAATTCTAAATAAGGCTAAATAAGAATTTCATAAGTGCGAACCCGGTGGGAAATCGGCTAGCAAATAGCTAGCTATAATCGTAACGATAAAGACAGCGATTTGACCACGAGGATCGCTAGCTTTTTTAAGTTAGCGAAAAGCTATCGATATTTGTAAAGATAAAGACAGACATTTTGCTAAGAGGACAGCTAGCTTAATAAGCTAAAGACCCACAGGCTGTTGTAGCTAGCGTCATATTGCAATAAAGTCGTTGTTTAAAAAATTTTGATATGTAGCTATAAACTAGCTATAGATTTGAATATATTTTGTAGCTAGATACAAAGCTACGATATATAGCTAGCGACACATTGCTATAAAATCGCAATGTTTAAAGTTCAATTATCCTCAAAATTATAATCGACTCAACATTAAAAATCGAATTTTTAAAGATGTTAAAGATATTTGGAAAAAATAAAAAATAGTAAAAGAAAATCACTAGAAAATCGCTATAAGGCTAGCTAGTAGCTCGCTAGTCGCTAGCATATTTCCCACCGGGAACTGGCATATATGCAAATTGGCCAAAATAATTTACAAACACTGGCGCAACTGCGAATTGACATAAGTGCGAACTTGAATAAGTGCGCCGAATAAATTTGCAAACATTTGCTAAAGTGCGAACTAGCATAAGTGCAAACTGTCTAAAAAAACTGGGATAAGTGCGAATTGGCATAAGTGCGGTGAATAAAATTGCAAATATTAACAAAAGTTCAAATTGGCATTTCGCACTTATGCCAATTCGCACTTATGCCAATGTTTGCAAATATATTCGGCGCACTAAAAATAATAACAAAAAAAAAAAAAATTTATGCCAGTTAGCATTTTTTTTAATTGCTTCGCACTTAAGCCAGTTCGCACTTATGCCACTTATGCCAATGTTAATTTGTTCGGCGCTTATGCCAATCCAGTTTTTGCGACTGCTTCGCACTTATCCCAGTTCGCACTCATGCCAGTTTGCACTTAAGACATTCGCGGATATTCAGTGGTCTATACTGATGTTATATTTGGTATCGCAGCTTGGTTCTTTACCAAAACTTGTATTGTATTTTTATAAACGATTTGTAATTTAATTAATTATTTAGAATTATAAATAACTAAGTAATGTAATTTAAAATAGTAAACTAATATAATAAAAGAGAGTTACGCGATTGAATCTTTTATTACAATTGAATTTCTTCAAAATCATAAAAATAGATCTTAAAATATAGACCTTAGCTTATGAATCTTTTTATGAAAGTATAGAATAAATGATTAATATACTTCTGGGAAAGTAAAAAAAAAAAAGTAATAGAAGAAGTTCTTAAATTTTTTTAAATTTTGAGAAAAGTTATTTGATTGATTGTTACAAACATGATAAACTTCGTGAGCCTTTTAAACCAAGAAAATTTATCATTACTACCAGTTTAACGAAGATTTACTGATTAACTTACTTGTTGATATAAAACAAAAAAAAAAGACAACAAGAAAACATTAAAGCTCTATATCAAACTAGCAAAATCATTTCAGTCAGCTTGGGTGGTTTCTCAGTGACATCGTGGTCTTCTTCGAGTTTTCCGATTCTTTATTTTTTTTTTTTTAATTTTTTTTTTTTTTTTTTACATTTATTTTGCTGTTTAAAAAATATAATCAACACATATATATACAAGAAAGAAAGAAATATGTCCGTATAACAAAGAAGACAGTAAAATCTTGTCAACAAGCACCGTTTTTGTATATACAGTATATAAAATAAACTATACTTTTTTACAATGATCTTTATAAAATAATGAGTTAAACAGACAGGGGCTCAAAGAAGATGAAGATGACAAAACGCAATCTTTTCATAGAGCCCCCTATATACATTTTCATTAGGTTATGAATATTAAATTAAATTAAAAACCCTAATGGGCATAAAACTGCTGCGCTGATCAATAAAAACAAATAAATAAGATTATAAAGAAAATTACTTTGTAATCCTTTTAAGCACAAATAATAATCAAATTTAAAAAATTTCTTTTTTTATCAGAAACTTAAATGAACTTAATGCCTTTGCCATACATTTGGATCCTTTTTGATATCTATTCCATATATTTGGCCCCAGATATGCAATGCTATATTCAGTATATTTATTAAGGTTTTGAGGCAGTTTATATGTGTTACTTATATTTGCTCTTAGATAGTAGTTTTCATTTATGTTTATTTCAAACTTGTTAGTAAAGTTTGTAGGAGAGAGATTATTATTAAATTGATACATAAAAATTAAATGCTGATAGATATTTATTTCAAAAACATCCATCATTTTCATATCTTTCATTATAGGTTTTGCATGCTCCCGCTTATTTTTAAAGCAAATGATTCTGCATGCGTGTTTTTGTGGACTATAGATTTTTTTAAGTTTTGATGGCTGAGTACTTGCCCATGATATGTTTGCATAGCTGATAAAGCAAATGGAATAATATATATTTTGTTTTCTCTGAGTTAAGCGAGAGTTTGTTAGCTCTAAACCAATTATTTACTTTAATTAGTTCGATATTCATGTCTGCGTATAGATTCTTGATATCACTGTTAGTAAGAAATAGATTTGTATTGTCATCAAACATGACTGAATTTAGTTTTAAAGATGCATTGCAAAAATCATTTATATAAATTAGAAACAGAAGTGGACCAAGGATAGATCCTTGGGGAACCACATACTCCAACATTAAATACTCCAGATTGTATATTGCACACATATTGTTTTCTATTGGTAAGATAACTTTTAATCCAATTGTAAGTTTTATTAATTATACCATAGTATTTTAGTTTATCTAATAGGATGCAGTGGTTAACTGTATCAAAAGCTTTTGATAAGTCAATAAAAACTCCTAAAGTAAATTTGTTTTGATTAAAACCATCGGTTATTTGATTAACTAATTCAATAATTGCATGCTCTGTTGAAAGGTTTTTTTGAAATCCAAACTGGTTTGGGTAAAATAATTTGTTTTTGGTAAAGTGATTATAGATTCTATTATAAATTACACGTTCGAAGAGTTTTGAAAAAACAGAAAGTATTGATATAGGTCTAAAGTTGGTTATGTCCGAATGTTCATTACATTTAAATATAGGGATTACTTTTGCTAATTTAAGTACATCAGGGAAAATCCCAGTTGTTATTGAGAGCTTTAGTATATGGATCAGAGGTCTACTTAAACTGGTTTTATTAAAGATAACTAAATCACTAGTTATTTCATCAAATCCAGGTGCTTTCTTTTTTTTTAAAGAGGAAAAGGCTTCTTCAAATTCTTTATATACAAATTCTTTATCGTACATGATGGCTTTATTTGTGGGTGTTAGATAATTTTAAAATGAATCAGTTGTTGGATTTATTTTATTAGCGAGATTTGGACCAATACTTATAAAGTATTTGTTAAATTCTTCGGATATTTGTTTTTCACAGAATATGTCTGTATTGTTAATATTAATTCTTTTTGTTAAAGAAGTTGTGTTTATTTTTTTCCGTCCCATTATTTTGTTAATGACGGACCACGTTTTCTTACTATCAGATTTGCATTTAATGATTTCATTACTATAGTATTTATTTTTTGCCTTTTTAATCAGATTTTGGTAAAAATATTTATAATTTTTGTAATTTTTCTCGTTATCAGTGTTTTTATTTTTAAGATATTTATTATAGAGTTTTTGCTTCTTTTTTGAGCATTTTATCAGTGATTTATCCATCCACGGATTAGAAACTGTTTTTGTCTTAATTATTATGCCCTCTAGAGGACAGGTTTTATTAAAGCAATCTAGGAATATATCTAAATTTTATTTATCTTTATTTTAAATTTTATTTATCTTTATTTTCTAACGATATCTTTATTTGTAATTAATTTAAATTAATATAAGATAATTTTTTATTTTACTTATGTTTGTATAAAGATTGTAAAAAAAAAAAAAAATAAGAAGAAAAAGGTTTTGTAGCTATTACAATAAACTTAATTGTTTATCGCAATCGTTTCAATCATTTTTACATAAAGTTTTTTGAGGATATTGGTTGAGGGTTTTGAGTTGAGGTCAATAAGTATTCCAAGAAATTTTTTTGTTTCTGTTCTTTCGATGTTTATTTTTTATTTGTTATTTAGAAGTCCTAACGCTCTTGTCACAGAACACCGCGGAAGTGCATTTAACCAGGAAGTTCACGCCTCCTTCCTTACCATGACGCTTAAATATGTCCAAAGCTTGTTTCGAACCTGAATCTCGTGCTTATAAAGCAAGCGCTTAAGCCACAGCGCCACGGCCGCACCTATTTTTGCCAAATAAATTCATTCATCTTTACGTGATTTTTTTTGTGAGGACAGTATTTCAGTATGTTTTTTTTATTGTTTATAGAATGAAAAAATATGTACTTAGATTTTAAAAATAGATGTTATAACTCTCCATTTTTTGAGATAATATTTTATGATTTTGGGCAAATGTAGGTCATTTATTCAAGTCGAGGCTAGTTAGTTTTTGGGCACATAAATTGTGCATAACTGAAAATACATTTTTTTTTTTTTTTTGGCTAAATAAATTCATTCAAGCCGTAAACCATAATATAAATACAAATAGCAAGGGCATGAAGAAGACATAGTTTGTCTTATCACAAAGCCTCTTAGTCTATACCGTAAATATAAAACAACAAAAATTAAAAAACGTAACACTATAAAATATAAAATGTTTTTCTAAAGACTTTATAAAATAAAAATCATTTTGTATTGGTTAAGAAAAATT